CACACACACACACACACACAGACACACATCCATTCATGCACCCGGACTGACCCGAGGCTCAGTTTGTGTTTGTAAAATATTTTTGAAAATAAAAGGCAGAAAGTTGCAGGATGGCTGCGTCCCGGCGGCGCGTAAAAGTTGCGCAGAGTTCCAGTTCAGTTCACTGGACCTGATCTGGATCTAATCTGGACCTGATCAGGATCTAATCTGGACCTGATCTGGATCTAATTTGGACCTGATCAGGATCCAATCTGGATCTGATCTGCACCTGATTATCCAAATGGCGCCCAGATGCGTCATTTGGATAAAACGGAGCTGCGCGTAAAAGTTCTTCCAGTTCCAGCTCACTGCACCTAATCTGGACCTGACCTGATCTGAACCTGATCTGGACCTAATTTGGACCTAATCATTTTACAGCTCCGTTTTATCCAAATGAATATCCCAAACGGAGCTGCGCGTAAACGCTGCGTCGCTTATAAATTTCTGCAGAAGCCACTTTCGGTGTTTAGCTTTCAGCACACCTAATGTGTTAAAATAGACATAAATTTCCACAGCTGCACGTGCACGAACTGATTCACGCGCGCATCAGCAGAAAGAAAGATGCGCGTAAAATGTCTTTCCACTGGAAGCAAACCGAAAGTCTCCAAAGTAAATAAACAAAAAGCAGGCAGTCGACAGCTGATGGTCACGTGGTCAGATTGGGCCCAGCAGCAGCATGCCCACTTCTGGCACGCGCTCATCATTTGCATTTGTATAGTTTAGGGAGGGGGGGGGGTCTGTGTATAATAAAGGGGGCTTCTGTGAGCACAATGGATCAGTTTTATGGCCTGGTTCTAGTCCACAGATGGCATCATCCTCCACCTGCCCTTTCTCTGCTGCTCTGTGTGTGTGTGTGTGTGTGTGTGTGGGGGGGGGGGTTGTCCTGCAAAACTATCACAAAAAATTAAAAATAAATGCAAGACAGCAGAAATGTTTCTGTTTGGAACTGTTCTTTTACGCACAACAAACGCGCACAGCTGAAGGTGCAGCAAAACTAAAATCTTGTATCTAACACGAAACATAAAAAGTGCATCAAAACGAACATATTTTATTTATTTTATTTATTTAAAGAATGCATGAAACAGAAAAGGTGCAGCAGGAAGCAGCTCTGACATCCATCCATCCTGCAGAAAAACACTTTATTTTAGTTTAAGCTGCTGCGCGCAGAGAGGGAGAGGAGGGGGGCGCGCGTGCGAGGCTCCATGACCCCCATCAATCTGCCACGAGCCGGACTGTGACAATAGCATTATCATACCAACACAGCCGCGGGTCTGAGCCAATCAGAGCGCGGCGCTTTGACCGACGCGCACGAGCTGCGGGACATAAAAGCAGCGGCTCCGCGGCGCAGGAACGATCTGCTGCCTGGAGGACTTCTTCTCTGACGTGTCCCGGCCCAGGATTCTCTGCACCATGACTCTGGAGGAGGTTCTGACCCAGAAACCTGAGCGCGCTCAGTGCGCCGGAGAGGCCCTGCAGGACGTGCTGGTTTCAGCCAAAGACAACCAGTCCCTGACGGTGGGTGTGTACGAGTGCGCCAAACTCATGAACCTGTGAGTATACGACCGGAAGTTCCGATCAACCGGTTCTGGTTCTGATGTGGCTCCGAACTCACGCGGTTCTTGTGTCCACAGAGACCCGGACAGCGTGTCCTTCTGCGTCCTGGCCGTGGACGAGGAGTTCGGCTGCGACGTGGCCCTGCAGATCCACTTCACCCTCATCCAGTCCTTCTGCTTCGACAACGACATCAGCATCGTGCGCGTGAGCGACGTGCAGCGTCTGACGGACATCCTGGGCCAGGTGGAGGCGGAGCAGCTGGAGGACGCGCACTGCGTCCTCATCACGGTGAGAGGAGGAGGAGGGGGGGGGGGCAGGTTTTAGGCTGTGGCTTTTACTTTGAAAAGACTGACCCGGTTCTGGTTCCCTCTCATCAGAACCCGGCTGATGGGCCCTGGGAGGACCCGGCTCTGGAGAAGCTGCACCTGTTCTGTGAGGAGAGCCGCCGCCTGAACGACTGGCTGCCGGAGGTCAGCCTGCCGGGGCGCTGAGCCTTCATCCCCCGCTGGAGCTGCAGCTCCTCCTCATCATCAACCCTGGATCCTCCTGAGGAGGGTTCCGGTCCAGGCAGCCCGGCGCCGGGCCCCGCAGGGGCCCCCACCGCCGTGAAGCTCGCCTCCTGACCCGTCCGCCCCCAGATGGTCCCCCTTCTTTCTGTGAAGGGGGGCCGGGGGCGCGCAGGGGGCGACACGTCGACCCTCATTCTTTGTGCGGATGAGGTTTGGAGAGGGAGAAGAAGAAGCGCGCGCGCACCCCGCGAGGACATGCGCGCGCGCGGACGCACGCGCAGCAGGAGAAGAAGCGGTGCTGAGGAAGAGGAGCTCATGGAAAGAGACTTTTCACTGACGCCTCTTCAGGACGCAACACGACAACAGTTGCAGCTAAAAGTTTCCCACTTTCCAGAAGTGTCTTAATTCTCTAAAGGTTTCACTTTAGAAATGACAAAAATAAATGTTTTATCTAAAGGTTTCACTTTAGAAAATAAATTATTCTTTAGTTTGAACTCATGTAAAATTAGAATTTTACAGAATAATTTAACAAATTACAGGAAAAACGAATAAAAAAGTTGATTTTTTTTGGAGAAAATTCATAAAAAACTGTTTTTATTTTAGGAAAATAAACTTTTCTTTTAAGAATTTGATTAAAGTTGTGTAAAAAAATCACTGACAGAAAATATTTGTGAATATTTTAGAGCAGATTTTTGTAGAAACTGAAGTTTTTCATGTATCGTTTGTAGAAAATGAATAAAAAGTTGAGAGATGAGCTCTGAGAGTTTCTGTTTTTGTGTCAGAAGTGAAAAAAAACTCATCTGCATCTGAATGAAGCTGCTCACAATACCAGAACCCCCCCCCGGCCCGGCAGCAGCAGCCACACAGAGACCTTTGTCTGGGCTGCAGATGGGCCGCGCCGCACCATCTGCCGCCGGGGGAGGGTGGTCAGGGGGGGGGCCGGGGGTCCAAACAGCTGCTGTCAGACCTGCAGATCAGTGAAAGTTCTGTTGAACGAACAAAAAGACTAAAACCTCTAAAAACATCAGAAACAAAACTTTTATTTTGAAAGTTTTTCTGGTTTGACAGCATGAATGCAGCTTTCAGCTGATTTCTCTTCGTTATTTGTTCTTTTCAGACGTCAGAATCAGTTTTTATTCGACTTCCTGCAGTGCTGGCTCCAGCCATTTTGGTGCCCTAGGCCAGAGGTTCTCAAACTGGGGTCCAAGGACCCCCAGGGGTCCGTGAGAGGTATATTAGGGGTCCTCAAAAAAATTCACTAAATTGTTAATGTTTTTTATTTTAAAAAATGCATGAAGAACAATGAACTAATAAAACAAGCATAATAAACTAAATAAAAATATATTCACATGGCATTTAGGGGTTGAAACGACAATAAATTATCTTTTAAAACAGCATGGAGTTTATGAGGGGGTCCCTGGAACTGTTTTTGCCGTTGTAAGGGGTCTGCAAACCCAAAAGGTTTGAGAACCCCTGCCCTAGGTGAGTTGAAGCGCAACCCCCACCCCCCCC